TTTAAAATTGTGATTTTAAGAAAGCTTAAAAATAATTTAGCGGAGGATTTGTGTATATACTCTATGTGCGTCTGAGTTGTGACTTATGGTGGTATCTTGCCAGTTTAAATATTATTCTACAGCCATAGAAGTTATGGATTGAATATGACCACTTTAGTTTAAATTTACTAAAATCATCAGATATGTAACTGTTATCATGCCAGTTTAAGTTTAAATAGTTTAGAGGCCAAATAGTATCAACAGCTTAGCTTTCAGTTATTCCGATTAACTGCAATACTGTAGAATAACACAAGCTAGACATTCAGTTGTGTTTGAACAGCTAAAACAGGTAATATAACGTCAGTTGCCTTCCAAAAGATCACCAACTAAACAGTTGATTAACTAATAAAGCAGATTAAGTAGTCAGTTAGACTCCAAAACTGATAAGATTAATAGTATTACGAAACTGATAACTAACCGTGTTCCATGGAACATTGACACGATGTAACCTGAAGACAAATGAGTCGAGTTGGAAGTAACAATTGTTATGGTGAACGCCTTTTTTAACCTGGGGAAACGTGATTACAATCAATAATATCCGTCATAATATCAGACTTATTTTTAGACACTACATACTTTATTCAGTTTCTTAGACTTTTCCGAAACTTTAAGCCTAGTTACTGAAAATATTCCTCAATTATTATTTATTTATTCTATATAAACACACTATGGTGTCTAAGTAAGCTGCGAACCCGAGGTCACTTTATGAAGCTAGTTATTAAAATCATTACTAAGAAACTAGAAGTTGTGGTTTTTTTGCTATAAACATATTTTCGTTTATCTGGCTTAGAACTCAAATTTCTTCTTGTAATACTTCCCTTCTAGAAAGTAAACAATTAATTACTTATTCAAGGGACGTTACAAAATCACATGATCAGACATTCGTGACTTAATTTCAGAAATCAAGGTGTGCATTTGTTGCAATTAGTTGCCACCTTTTCTAAGAAAATAATCTAAAAACGGCCCGATGATCTGACCCGAAGCGAAGCGTGAATCTATTGTTAGAAGTGGTAGTGTGGTTCAGTAGTAATTTATATTGTTATTCAAGTTCACTTTAGTTCTCGCTTGATTACTTGAGGAGCATGAAAATTTGTTTATGATACATCACATAGAATTCTCTAGTTCGTTTAGGAAAAGAAATATTTTCGTTTTAGCTATGCCAGATAACCTATCTGGATGTTGCCTAGTGATTAGCATGCCTGGATGTGAATCCTAGGTTTTATGATTCACGACTCGTTGCTGTAAAAATGCGCTCCGCTCTCTGCGGTCGTGGGTGCGCTACGAATAGCGGACAATTTCCAAGATTCTATTCAACAAGAGTATTCGAGGACGTGGCGGAGAGTGCTGTTGATGAGCTGCCTTCCTTCTGGTCTACCAGTTCAAAATTAGGTATGGCTAGCGCAAATATCCTTGTAGCTTTACGCGAAAATCAGAAGCAACAACAAAAAAAACATGAACGTATAAGTCTGGCTGTAAAACTTACATACAGTTTAAAAACAGGTAAAATGTCATTGATTTGCAAGTTAATTAAAAAACAGGTTTCGCTCTAGTATGGCAAACGTTTCCTGTAATTGTTGTTATTTTAAACTCATACTCCAAATTCTTATTTTCATAGCAGGCTTTCTTTTTATTTGTTTGTTTTGGTGCAAAGCCACGTTAAGCTATCTACTGTGTCAACCGCGGGGGGAATCGAACCCTGGATCTTAGTTTTTAAGTTCTACACGTGTGTCAGCTCTTTTTCTTTAACTTTTACTTCAAAGCTTGTAACAACTTTTTCTTTATACTTTCAGGAACTAAAAGTTTAAAAGCACTTCTAGTTGTTAACTTTAATTTTTATTTTAGATGTTTAGTTATAACTTTTTCTTTAAAATTCTAGTAAACAAAGTCACTTTTATTTGTTATTTCAAAATTTTTCTGTTATAACTGTTCAACATTTTTAGCAACCACAAGCTTCTTTTATTTTCTAAAAACTAAATCTTTTATACAGTGTGATAAGACGACATTATATGACTAAATATAGAAAGGATGGTTTCTCGTCTTAGTTTTTTTTCGAAAGTGTATAAGTAGTTCAAAAACCCTTTCAAATAACTAAATCTCCTAAGCTTGGCGAACCTCGTAAGATGTTATTGGGTTTATGGGCGAAAATCCCGTTATTAACAGTACCCAACTATTAAAACAAGTAAGAACTTAAGAACAGTATGTTTTATTAGTCATACTCATTACAAGGTTGATTTTTACTTTTGGTGTAAGTAGGTGGCTTGCTGTCATTAGAAATTTTATTATTGAGCTTACGCTTTTTTCACATGACCTGGCACAGTTCTGTTTAGAATTTCGCGCAAAGCTACACATTAGCCGTCCCTAATTTAGCAATGATAGAGTAGAGGGAAGATAGCTATTCAACACCACCCACCGCCAATTCTTGGGCTACTCTTTTACCATCGAACACCCTAACCACCAGACCTAAACTGGCATAGAAAGGGTATGCATTTACTTTGATGCACAGCGGTATGTCTACAGACTTACACCGCTAAAATCCGGGTTTCGATGTAGGAGTGTTGTAAGGTTTGATAACCTTCTATACTTTGGGGCTGTAGGAGTGTTGTAAGGTTTGATAACCCTCTATACTTTGGGGCTGTAGGAGTGTTGTAAGGTTTGATAACCCTCTATACTTTGGGGCTGTAGGAGTGTTGTAAGGTTTGATAACCCTCTATACTTTGGGGCTGTAGGAGTGTTGTAAGGTTTGATAACCCCGATAATGAAAATACGTTTTTTCAGTGTTACAAATTTCACAAAGCTATACAATGGACCATCTGTTCTCTGCCCACCGCAGGTATTGAAACCCAATTTTTAGCACTATAAACCCGTAGGCGCTGCTGAGCCATTTATTGAGGGGTCTCAATGAATTGTCTTTAGTTAGAATATTGATTTTGTTTGTTTATTTCGTATAAAGCTACACGAGGACCATCTGCGATATTCATTCAAGTGATAGAATAGTGGGTTATCAAACCTTACAACACTCCTACAGCCCCAAAGTATATTATATATCTCACGTGGCAAACAACGTCATAGCTGTTTTGATGTCTTTCGGGTATTTCATTCAAATATAATTTGCTTTGTATATAAATATATTAAAAACGCTGAGTGAGTTTTAGCTTTACAAGATTTTCGTGCGCCCAGATTTGAAAGTTCACTAACCAACATTTAGATACATTACTTGACACTAGATGGCGAGATTTACTTTTTCAAACTATGACATTATGACCACTAAGTTTTATAAAAGTAATGGAAAACTGCGAAGGTTATACCAACCATAAAATAGCCAGAATATGATGTATAAAGCCTGTGTAACACGACACTAAAACCGACCGAAAAATAGATTGAGAGAGTATGAAATTATACCTTGTTGTCCATTATTAGCAGCGCTACTTATGTGAGATTGAATGAAGTGGCGCTCAGGCCTAAAATTTCTCACGATAACTATTACTTTTTATATTCTTCCTATTTAGTTTTACTTACAAATGTAATGGTCATAGCTACATTTATTAGGAATCATTCATCTATTAAAAAAGAATTCATGATAAAGTTTCACTAACATTTCGAATGCATTAGAATCGTCATTTTAAAAAAAAGGATCATTTGAATTCTTCACTAGTGAGACTCGTATCAAAAAGATTGTAGAATAATTCAATATAAATTGAAAATACTAAAAGATTTTTATCATCCGTCTATAAGAAAAATGTTTGATAAAAATAAAATATTTGTGCTTAATACCTTTAATATGGCGTATCAACAGAAACTTTTCTTTCATGATAAAGTTTTCATATTAAAAATAATTGATTTAGTGATATATCTAAAAAAATGTGGAATTAACGAAATATACACTTTATTTTGATTTATTCAGACTTCTAGAAAAACAAATATTTATTTCATCAGTTATGTCTTTAAAAAATAAGCTTCATAAACAAGATTAATATTCAAATTGGCTAAAAATCAGGTTTCGATATTCGTTGTGGACAAAGATAGCTTTGTGCTTAGTAATAATAACAAACATATAAATGTTTAAACTGAACAAACTTTTAATTCCATGTAGAACCTGGCTATTCTTTCCAATTCAACATATATATTTATGGAAACTGGAAATCGTTATATCTTTTTTTCTACATCGTATATAATATTACATAAGGTTCCAATTATGATAAACAGATTGTTATTGCCTAAACTGGTGACTCAGAACAGAAAGACTGATGTACAATATAGGTCTATTATGTTGAATCAGTCTTTCTGTTCTGAGTCACCAGTTTAGGCAATAACAATCTGTTTATCATAATTGGAACCTTATGTAATATTATATACGATGTAGAAAAAAAGATATAACGATTTCCAGTTTCCATAAATATATATGTTGAATTGGAAAGAATAGCCAGGTTGTACATGGAATTAAAAGTTTGTTCAGTCTGAACATTTATATGTTTGTTATTATTACTAAGCACAAAGCTATCTTTGTCCACCACAAATATCGAAATATATCTTGATTTAGATTAGTTGTGATTGCTTTATATTGTTTAGCATAAATTCTTTGAATACGATGTCATAATTTCAAGACAGTAAAGAGGAGTGAAATATTATAAATTACATCAGCAGACCTGAGGTTGAGTTGAGTTACAGTAGGTTAATAGTTAATAATTTTCTTCATTTTTGGTTTTTACACAATTGAAGGTCAATAAACCATGTTAGTTTTGATGTCTTGTTTTGATTGACACTCAAAGCTTACAGGAAAATGGTGGAGATATTTAGACTTATTCATTAGGACTTAACAATTATAAACGGATGAAAAATTTACTCTGGCACTTTGTTTTATGTCTCTTCAATTATGTAAAAAAGAAAGTCTACTAGCATTTACAGCAATTATATATGAAACCCCATATGTGTATATATATATATAGCTATTTTTTGCTAGAATCTCAAGCATCTTTCTCTTTACACATCACTTGAACTTCATGTTTCACGCTGGAACCTCGAACATCCTTATATACCATCTGCATTTCATGTTTCACGTTGGAACCTCGAACATCCTTATATACCATCTGTATTTCATGTTTCACGTTGGAACCTCGAGCATCCTTACATACCATCTGTATTTCATGTTTCATGCTGGAACATCAAGCATCTCTACACATCACTTGAACTTCATTTTTGTTAGTGTAACCTCGAGCATCTTCACATATTATCTGTACTCCATGTTTTAATACTGGAACTTCGAGGATTTTCACATATCACCTGTACTCGCTGTGTTAATGGTGAAACCTCGAGCATCTTCACACATCATCTGTACTCTATGTTTTAATGGTGAAACCTCAAGCATCTTCACACATCATCTGTAATCTATATTTTAATACTGGAACTTCGAGTATCATCACACATCATCATCTGTTACCTATGTTTTAATACTGGAACCTCGATCATCATCACACATCATCTGTACTCTATGTTTTAATACTGGAACCTCGAGCATCTTCACACATCATCATCTGTAACCTATGTTTTAATACTGGAACCTCGAGCATCTTCATACATCATCTGTTTTAATGGTGGAATCTCAAGCATCTTCACACATCATCTGTAACCTATGTTTTAATACTGGAACCTCGAGCATCTTCACACATCATCTGTTTTAATGGTGGAATCTCAAGCATCTTCACAAATCATCTGTAATCTATGTTTTAATACTGGAACCTCGAGCATCATCACACATCACTACACCAGGTCCTCATGCTTCTTGATGAAACCTTATTCTTTGCAAACTACAGTAAAAAAATATGAAATACATCAACACGATAATTGTAAAACCGAAATAAACTTGATAATTAACAATAAAGTTATCTATGTTAAACTAGCCACCTGTTATACTGATGTTTTAGGAAATGCTACAAATATCTGAACTATTTACAATTTACTCTGTTATCACTTGGCTATAGTTCACGTTAATTGGTTATTAGTGAATACTGGACTTGAAAGATAGTAAACATTTGCATTTTATAACATTTGATGATCTAGTTTCTTGTTTAAACCAGGACATAAAGAAGGGCTACAGTCTTGTACTTCAATGCTTGGTTCGGAGGAAGAATCATCAAAAATATTATGAGTAGTTATATTTCAAATTTTCTGATTATATCATGTTATAATAAAAATATATCGACCGTTCTGTCCCTCTATCCTTACATTGATGGTGGGTTGCTGTAAACTCGTAAAACAATGTTTGTTATAAATAGTTAGTAGCGTATCTGAAGTATAAAGATCTTCATAAAATCATCGTAAATATTTCTCAGAATAATGTCACGCTACAAAAGATTAGACATCAGCATGATTAGTGCTGAACACATTGTCAGTAGATATAGTATTTTCTGTAACTATGGTAACGTTATAGACGTACACAATACACACACGTGTATAAGCTCTTTGACGATAAATATCTTGTTAGTAAATATAGTATCCTCTGTAACCATGGTAACATTACAAAAAGGAAGAAAGAGATTATCAATGTTTTAGAAATTGGTTAGAGTTTTAATTCTCTATTTAAGAAACTTTACAATGAACGACCTTAATTTTTTAGTAGTTGTAATTATCGATGTATATTGTAGAAGACATAAATATGCTTGCCACTATTTGCTATTCCTTTGATCCTTTCCTTCAACCAATCACAAATAGGAGTATATACGCACAAACACACACACACAAATATACACGTATACATGCATGATACAATTACTTTAATGAATTATGCTTACACATAAATATTTTATAAAAATGTTTATCAACCTGCAAGAAGTAATATCAAATAGATAGATATCTATTTGATATTACTTCTTGCAGGTTGATAAACTTTGTAAAATATCTATTTGATATTACTTCTTGCAGGTTGATAAATTTTGTAAAATATCTATTTGATATTACTTCTTGCAGGTTGATAAACTTTGTAAAATTACAAAGTTTATCAACCTGCAAGAGGTAATATCAAATAGATATTTTACAAAGTTTATCAACCTGCAAGAAGTAATATCAAATAGATATCTTACAAAGTTTATCAACCTGCAAGAAGTAATATCAAATAGATATTTTACCAGTCTTCTGATAAAATAACAACGTAACATGTAGTATTTTATTAGTACAATATGTTCGAAGGTTCGATCAGTAGCCAGAACTTCCAAGATCGTTTTATCGAAGGCTCGTCAAGTGGCGTTTATGAGGTGTTAGAGTTTTTTCTCTTACCAATAGAAACTGTTTAACAGTGTTTGAATAATAATAATATCTTAAATGTCACTCACGTGGAAAAATTCAATCTTTTCATTTGTATAATTCCCATTACTTGTATCAAAACTCACAAAAACCACCACCAAAACGTTATAGGTGGCAGCTCCTTCGGTGCATTGGAGCAGACCATTACGATGAAACATAGGGGGATACGTAACGGTTGCATGCTTTAATAAAATGTACTGAAGGTCTTGTGTACCGAAGTGTTACTGTTGCTTTGTTCTGTTTCGATGTTTATTTATAATTATTTTTATTATTATCATTTATTTCGCTGACACCTTTATCCAAAACGTATATCTAAATAATTAAAAATGTTGTTAAAAGATGTGACTGATAATAACACACAGGTGTAGGAAGCATATTAAAAGTAAGGGGATGAAAGATGTATTTGACTGAGAGAAGCGAGGGAATGTGTGCCACAGGGGCACCCATTAACCCGTGAGGTCTAGGGCCTTGGAAGCCCATGGGATCTGGATTAAATTTCATGAATTCTCCTGCTTTTCCTGAGAGTAATTCTCCTAATTTTGATGCATTTTAACTGGGACAGATTGAAAGGGTGTAACGCTCTCTTGTAACCTTTTGCTATAGATGAAGATAATCGAGCTATTGGTGTTAGTTACTTTATTATGTTTCTTAGGTGTGTTTAATTTATAAATATTTTTTTGTTAAAAGGACTATGACTGTTAACCTGTTTGGAACGCTGACTGTTAAACGAAGATTTGTTTTTCCTTAGGTTAGCTACAGTTCTTTAAATTGGCCACAGTTAAGGTGCTCCTGTTATGCAAGCTTGCCGTATGTAGATATACGAGTATCAACACGTAGCATCAAATACTTGTACATAAGCAATGTGTACGTTTTTTGTTTTTTTCTATAATAAAAACATTGTTACTGTTCTAAATAACGTATTTGTAAAGTACGTATAAATGTTTTATTTCATTTGGGTGTATTACCTGCAAAATAAAACGATTTTCAATAAAATATAAATTAGCACTTATATTGACGTCATCAGTAAATTATGTAAATTAATACTATCGAAAAGTACAACCTTCGTTCAGTAATGTGTTCCGAAGTTTCAAAAGCCTAAAGCTACACTGTGGCCCTAAATATAACAGCTCTCAGATTAGTAGTGAATATCTTTACAAAATATTTGTATGATTTACTAAAATTTTGTGTTTCAATATCAAGTGTATTTTTTCCGTCAAAATGCATAATTTTCTACAACTATTTTGTCTACTTTGCAAACCGTATATAACAATCGTTTTGCTTGTTGATTTAACACAGTAGAATTTGTACAAGTACTTACAACTTTAAGTTTAAATGACCGTAGTGTTTTGAAAACATTTATAATTTAAATTACCTTAATTCTACTCAAGAATATTTGGATTTGTTTATAGAAAAGCACTTCAGTAAAGTAATCCACTATCAGATCTAGACGAAGATAAAGCACTTTCAATAAATCAAAAACTTCCAGATCTACATGAAAATAAAGCACTTTCGAGAAGTAAAACACTGCCAGATCTAGAACGAAGATAAAGCACTTTCAATAAATCAAAAACTTCCAGATCTACATGAAAATAAAGCACTTTCGAGCAGTAAAACACTGCCAGATCTATAACAAAGGCCCCCCAGTGGCACAGCGGTATGTCTGCGGACTTACAACGCTAGAATCCTGGTTTCGATACCCGTGGTGGGCAGAGCACAGATAGCCCATTGTGTAGCTTTGTGCTTAATTACAAACAAACAATCTAGAACAAAGATAAAGCACTTTCAAAAGATTCCAAATCTAGACGAAGATAAAGTACGTATGAGAAGTAAAACACTGTCAGATCTAGACGAAGATAAAGTACGTATGAGAAGTAAAACACTGTCAGATCTAGACGAAGATAAAGTACGTATGAGAATTAAAACACTGTCAGATCTAGACGAAGATAAAGTACGTATGAGAAGTAAAACACTGTCAGATCTAGACGAAGATTTCAGTGTTTTTAACTCTATGATTATGTGTTCATAAAGCCACTCATTATCACATTCTAATAAGGAGAAATAATAGAAGTTTTGGAGACTTTTTACAGTTTTATTTTATTTGACTTTGTTATTTTATGACAGTTAATAGTAACACATAAGGTCATATAGTTTCTGATTAGATACGTAATGTAAAAATATATATCGTGAGTTAAAGAATGGGTTACGTATTGTGTGCGTGATGAACAGTGTAAAGCAGAACACTTGGTACGAAATTGCACATAAATTATGTTCGGCTGCGACCTAGAAAGCCAGTGTTTAAAACACGTTTGTTTGAGTTTTATACCTCTACATAATTTCATTGTTTAGATAGACAGGATGTATCATGTACTTGTCCAGACAGGGTATGTGTAGAAACTTAAGAAATTGTTGTTATCAGTGAGAGACGGATTTAGCCAAGTCAGCTGCTATAAAGTCTGAAAACAGTCTGTGTGGTCAACTAATCAAATCAAGAATTTAACAACCGCTTCTGCTATAATTCATCCCCAACATACACCAACCACAGACTCGGTTATCTTCAGCACACACTAGACATACACTCTGTTTTCTTCAACAATGATGATAACCACCAATCTATTACCGATTGGTTGCGCGTGTGTGTATTGAAATTTCTGAGAAGCTACTCCCAGTTAAAATAATATAAGATTGAAAAAGAACCCGAAATATGTGTGGGGAAAATGTTTTAACAAGAACACTTTATATCTACCGAAAAGAAAAAATTAAATAACAATAAAAGAATAAGTAAGTATAATTCATAAGAGCCTTCAAAAATCGTTACTGTCAATATCAATACGCCCAATGTTTCGAAATAAAACATTTAATAAGAATGGTTTGACAGAAGACATTCTAAATTAAGAAACAACGATTTAAAAGCACAATTATATTTTATTGTAGAAAACATACTACAAGTTTCAGTAAACATACCGGGGTACTCTAGAAATACGTATCATGTTTCTACAATAAACTTCATTGTGCTTACAAATCGTTGTTTCTCAATTTACTACTTTACTGTGCTTCTTTGTACACAAGTATTGTATCACATGTTATTTACCATGATGGCGAAGAAACGTTCCTCTTTTACTTAATTTTGATACTGTTCTTTTACTGTATATAAAAGTATATTTAGCCACTGATTTACATATCAATTTTATTTCAATTCATGATGTTTTCCATGATAGAAACTAACAAGCCTGTATTTGTGCTCTAATATTTATATAATGATGTCACACAAGGATATTTTGATGACTAAAACTACAAGTACTGGTCACAAACATACCAAACCATCCACCAGCAAAACACCATATGTAAGAGTGTTTTGTAAGGTAAATTGTATCATAAGAAATAGAAGATAAACTCTATTAAAAAATCCTAAATGTAATAGATATTAGTCTAGCAAATAATTTGAAGATTAATATGCACGTGTATGTATATATATATACTCACTTTATAGCATTAAATACACTATTTA